CAGTGGAGAGAGCTATGCAAGTCATTTAAAAGACATTTGTGTGATAAAGTAATACATGCTTACGTAAGAAAAACCCGAAGACACAGAAGAGTGTAAAGTGAAAAAGGAAACCTACCTTGTCCTTCACTTTCCGTTCTCGTTCCCTTCCCCCCACGCACAGTCTCTCATATGTCATTCCCGAGGACTGCTGTGCTTACACAAAGACATACTAATATACTTCCTTTTTAAAAACAGACACAAATGCTGTCGTATTGAATCTACTGTTCTGTGAGTTCCGTTTTACATTTAACAATATACCTTGGCCCTAACCGGTTTGGCTCAGTGGATAGAGCAGGGGTGGGCAAACTTTTTGACTCGAGGGCCACAATGGGCTCTTAAACTGGACCGGAGGGCCGGAACAAAAGCATGGATGGAGTGTTTGTGTGAACTAATATAAATTCAAAGTAAACATCAGTACATAAAAGGGTACGGTCTTTTTTTTTTTTTTTAGTTTTATTCATCCCCGCGGGCCGTAGTTTGCCCACGGCTGGTATAGAGCATCGGCCTGCGGACTGAAGGGTCCCAGGTTCGATTCTGGTCAAGGGCATGTACCTGGGTTGCGGGCACATCCCCAGTAAGGGGTGTGCAGGAGGCAGCTGACTCGATGTTACTCTCTCATCGATGTTTCTAACTCTCTATCCCTCTCCCTTCCTCTCTGTAAAAATGCAATAAAATATATTTTAAAAAACCACAATATACCTTGGACATCTTTCCAAGTCAGCACATATAGATATACCTTATTCTTTTTAATAGCTACATACTATTTTATCATTTGAATATACTATAAAGTCCTATAGTTATTTATTTAACTACTCGTGTATTAATGAACATTTGGGTTTCCTGCCCTGAAAATTTGGGAGAATTTGGGGGATAGAAAGCATGCTTTCTCTAAGTGGGTCACCAGGAGGGGTGATGAGAGAGTCCAGTCCCACTTCTGCTCCCGAATCCCAGACCCACAGATTCCCTACTGAAATGAAGACATAGCACCATGTGGTGGCCGCTGGTTCAATGCATGTGTCCTCGAAGGCTGGGGTACAGCTACATCATTCCCTTAGGCGGCTGGTTGTAGGTGACGAGGTGTTTAGTAGAACCGATGCATTCCATGGCTGTGTGCTAATTGTCATGCCTCCTTCGCAGGAAAATGGGCCCGTTGGTCTGATATTGTGTGGACTCCTGTGCTGGTAAAGCAAACATCCTCTAAGCTCGTGATTGTGGGGCAGGCAGGACAGGCAAACCCCCTGCAAGAATTAGTATCTATTCCGGTAAGGACGATCACAGCCCTTCCACGGGCAGCTGGTCTCCTTCAAGGACAGAGCATGTCAGTCCCCAAGCGTCAGGTTTTGTTACTGGCAGGTTAGGTCCTCAGCAGCAGCAGCCAGGTCAGCCTTGGGGAGAAAGGGAGCCAGTGCTGTGGGGCCATCCATCGCCACCACCCCTGCAGCCGTGGCACCCTGTGCATGGATCGGTTACACAAGCCCTGGGCTGGCCAAGGACAGAGCAGGCTGGCACCCTCCAGAGAAGACACCCTCTGCCTGGATGCTCAAGGTCTCCTCGGCATCAGCAACAGCCCCCAGACCTTCAAGCTCTGTGCTCGCTCCCATGAGTACAGTTTATGTCTCTTCTCCAAATGCTTTCAAACTTGCTCCGTCCAGTCTACCCACAGATCCATGCTTATCGCAGGTCCTTTCTTCCTCATGCAAAATGAGCCATCCAGTGCACTGCTTGAGGCTGTGCTCAGTGGGAGGATTCCCTTTCATCACTCTCCTGCAAGGCCGCCGCCCAGGGGGCTTTGGTGGCGGCAGACCAAGTGCCAGCATAATGAGCCGATCCATCTGTGAGCTGGTCTTGGGTTTTTCTCCTCCATTAGTTGTAAACTCCCATGGAACCATACATACATGTCAATTGAAGGAGGGGTGACAGTGCAACAAAGTAGATGACAGGAGAATGAGCCACCCCTTTTTGTAACTTGCTTGTTTCCCCCCGGACCTCCTGGAGCCCAATCACACATGTATAGTTTTCATGGTTTGGTGGATTATTACTGGTGCATCCTCGCAGCCTTATGACAGCGTGTCTCTATTACCCAGCTCACAGGCCGGCTCTGGGTCACAGAATCACCTGATGGCCCATGGTCAGGTGCTCAGTCTCTCTTAGGGAGTTACCAGGTGTCCTTGTCAGGAATTAAGTCCCAGGTCACGGGACAGTGCTCCCAGGCCAGTGAATTCCCCCCTTTCCAGCCTTATATTTCTCCACCGCATGGTCCATCAGACTTAAGTTTCCTGCTGGTACGTAGGAGCCAGGTCTTGTAATTCTCAAGGACAGTTATTTCCTCCTGGAGCAGGAACCATAGTGCCTGCTGAGGCACTGTTACAGCCTCATCCTAGTTAGAGGTCTGTGGGCCCTGAGAGGAGGTGGGGATCCAGTCGGTAGCCACCTGCCTCACTGAGGTGTTTTCAGGTCTTCATGTGGCAAAGGAATAAGAGGCTGCTTCTCCCAGCCCAGAGCGCTCTGAGAAATTTGAGGGTTTAAGATTCTCAGACTCATCCCCTAAATGTCCCCATCCCAGACCTCTGCGTCCCTCGCTTTTCTCGCCAGAGCCCTGACTTTGGCATAAGAGATCTGTTGAGACTGTGCATCGTCGCTTTTGTATACATGTTAAGTCCTGAGCCTGCTTTTAGCACAATCTATCCTGCATCTACGGGAGATAAATGTCTCTTTAAATACTGTCATAGAGGCCTTTTTTTTTTTTTAATTTTCACCCAAGGATATGTTTCTTATGGATTTTAGAGAGAGAGGAAGAGAGACAGAGAGACAAAGAGAGAGAAACATTGACCCCATTGCCTCCTATACGCACCCCGGCTGGAGATTGAACCCGAAACGTGTATGGGACAATGCTCCAACCAACTGCACCACCCGGTCGGCCAGGGCTGCCACAGAGGCTTCTGACTCCCACAGTTGATGGATGGCTAACCGGAACCTATCTATCATTTTCTCTTTTCTTTTCTCAACGACTTAAAAGTGTTAACAAAAGCCAGTCATTCGATAATCCCTGTAATTATCATTGCCCCATATTAGTCACGTGCCACTGCTAATGCACAAGGCAATCTGCACCACATTCAAAAGCAGGACTGATGGAAGTCTCAGTCATTGTGTGTTGCTGCTCCCCGGAGCTCCCTCTCGCCCCACTTGCCACCCGCTGTGGGGGCCTGGCCATCTGCCTGGGGATTGATCCAGTTCCAGATCCCTTTCTGAAGATCTGCCAGCCTGGGCCACTTCTAGTACCAACTCTCTCTGCCTGGACACCTCCCAGAAAGCAGTCTCAGACAAGCGACTCTGTTAGTAGCTTGTTTGGGGAAGTGATACCAGGGAGCAGGAGTGATACCAGGGATCGGAGAGAGGGAGATAGGGAAGGAGGAAAAGCCAGCGCAGGGGCAAAGGGGCTCCTCCTGCCAGGTCTCTGCAAGGAGCCTGAGGACCGGAGGACTTACCCACCACTTCCTGTCCCCCATTGGTCAAGGGTTCCCCCCACGGAGTTCTCCCTCCTGCATGGTAGAGCCAACCCGCCAGCATCCCATATCCCAGCACCCAGCAGCCCTGGGGCAGAAGCCAAGGCACAGAGTACGGCTGAGGCGAGGGCTGCCGGCTACATCTGGGCAAAGGTGGAAGCTGCAGCAATGGCTAAATTAAAGGGTGCACTGAAGGAGGGGAAGCAGCATGCGAGAGGCAGCGAACGCTGACCTCCTTGCTGTTCTGCAAACATTCCAGGCAGGATCCCACAGAAGAGCCTTTGGGATGGCAGTTCTTTCTGCCTGGAACAATTTTCTGGAAATCCTCATGACCTTCACCTTCTCTAGACTTTTTTTCCATTTGTTACCTTTTCAGTGAGTTCTTCTCTGATCACCATGTTTTAAATTGCAACCCCTATTATGTTCCCTACCTACTATATTTCTTTCCATAAGACTCACCACCACCCAGCATGCTCAAACACAGGGGTGGGATAAAGTAAGTTCACAGTTGTTCCTATGGAAAATACTGCAATAATTAATGAATAATAATACAACAGGCCAAAGATAGTCATTTCTTCCCCAAAGAAACCATTCCCTCTCCCACTGCTGACCCCGCCATCTGCCCCATGATACAAACCTTTGGTCATTCTTGATGACTTCCTCTTCCCCCTCCCTCACCTCCAGTCCCTCACCACATCTGACTATTCTAATCACAAAGAATACCTCTGAACAGTGCCTTTCTCACCATCTGTCTGGCCTCTGCCCTGGTCCATGTTCTAGACATACACCTTCAGGCACATCAGATTGAAGTCTTCCTCGTTTTCCTGTCTTAAAATGTTTCATCAGCTTAGGAAGCGTGATTTATTTATTCATCCACAAATAATTGCCGAGGCCCTGTGCTGGGGGTTCAACAACATCATTTTGAGTAAACAAGAGAACACAGACCCTGATATCATGGTCCTTACATTCTGTGGATTGTATCTGTTATATCTATTGACAGCAGAGGACATAAACAATCAACTGAGGAATTTTTACTCTGTAATTACTTAGTAAATACAACAGGTTCTGAAGGACACATACTTCAGGGGAGCTACCAGCCATGCAGGGGCACTGAGCCCTGGGGAGCAGGGGAGACCTCCTTAGGAAGGGCCATTTCATCTGAGCCTTAGAGGATGAGTTTGTATTAACTAAACCATCCCTCCCTTTTCACTCTCCTTTCTTTCCCAGCCTTCTCATATCTCTCTTTGCCTCCACCAACCACCTGGGCTATAATCGCTTTTCACATACAAGCTACTAGCAAACAGCTCATGAAGAGAAGTAAGATAATACTGTTTACAGGTTACTTCAACCAAGACAAAAACTTCCTAAAGGACGCGCAGCTTTCTTTTTACTGGGTCCGAACTAGAGAACGCTGTCTTCCACACCTCACATTTGGCGCCTTGTCCTTCCTGTTTTCAGCAACTCAAGCATCCCAACCTTGTGAACCTGATCGAAGTCTTCCGGCGGAAGCGGAGGCTGCACCTGGTGTTTGAGTACTGCGACCGCACGGTTCTGCACGAGTTGGACAGATACCAACGAGGGTGAGCGATCCATCCCTTACAAACAAAACGCAGTGAAACACAGCAGGATCTGTGAGGGGAAATTAGCAATGACCCTTTTTCAGGTTAGGCACACACAGCCAGTGTCTGGACAGCATACCCTGCTGCTGGGGTCCACAGAGGAGGCGTTACCAAAAAGGTTAGAAAAGAGAGCCTATCTAATCATTGTCATGAAGAAAGCAACCACAGCATTATTGGGTTGAACTTGATTTCTTTGGTACATTATCTCTGCATATAAGCTATCCGAGTCTCTAAGAAAGAAAAGGGAGGGTATTAGTTATTCTGTGCCTGATTCAGGAAGTCTGAGGACTTGGAGATTGGAAAGAAGATCCCAAAGAAAATGGCTTTTAGGAAGTTAACGGCTAAAACAAATGCGTTGCCCTGGCCGGTTTGGCTCAGTGGATAGAGCATTGGCCTGCAGACTGAAGGGTCCCGGGTTCAATTCCGGTCAAGGGCACATAGCTTGGTTGCAGGCTCCTCCCCGGCCCGAGCCCTAGTCTGGGCGCATGTAGGAGGCAACTAATCGATGTGTTTCTCTCACATTGATATTTCTCTCTGTCTATCCCCCTCTCTCTCTTCCACTCTCTCTAAAAATCAATGGAAAAATATCCTCGGGTGAGGAAATAAACAAACAAATGTGTTGCTGCATCCAAAGCAATCTGGGTGTCTGTTCTGCTGTCTCGGTCAGGACTTCTTTGGTTACAAGTGTCAAAAACCCAGCTGAAGCAAGTGTGGGTGAAAAAGGAATGTGTTGGTAGCTGTAAGTAGGAAGGATTGGGGATGACTTTAAAGGCTTTGCTGATCTTACCACATCTCTCTAGCATATGCAACTCTTATGTGTGCATGAGAAGGCTTAGGGAGCAGGCAGATACTTCCTTTGAAAGAAAAGGGGGCTCCCTTTCAAGGGTGGAGGGTAGCCCTTACCTGGGTGAATAGAATAGAGGCTGGATTTTGGCTCCCGCCTACTCCTCAGCAAGATGTCTTAGGGTAGAGTGCCATAGCTGGTGGCTGTTCTCTCTCGGCTCTTCTTTGTGTTGTTTTCATTCTACTTTGTACACAAGTCTCCCTTATAAGGTGAATTTTGGAAGATGTGTGTGTGGGGCGGGGTGGGGAGGATAGAAAGAGTTAGGAAGGGAAGAATATGATAGAAAGCATGACCACAGGCTTTTATCAAGCTATGTAGCCATTCTAGAAGAAAGGACATTCTAGAAGAAGGAAGTATCTGCATATAAAGTCCAGTGAAAGACTCTGATTGGTTCATCTCAGTTGATGCAATCACTGTAGCCAAAAGGAGAGGGTAGAATGATTAGCAGGCCTTGGAAGATATGATTCAAAGCAGGTCAGTCAAGGAAGACTTTGTGGAGGAGGAGGCCTTTGGATTGAACGGTCAGGAGATTTAAGAGAAGTTAAGCAGGAAAGAATAGTCCATCTCTCCTTTTGCCTTGCTCCAGGGAGCCCAACTTTGGCTGGGGACAGTATACAGAGTGGTGGAATGTCCCCCCCATCCCGGTCACATTCACTCAGCAGCTGGAGGCTGGGGCTCTTTTAACAATGCTTTCGAGCCTAGGCCAAGAGCTTGCTCTGCCATGTAGTGGTGGTTCTATATTATCTAGCATGACCCCCAGGCACATGGGATTAAAGTGGCTTACAGTCTGTTAGTGACCATGGCATAGGCTTTTCATGTTAATTTACACAACCAGCGAGCGCCAAGAAAACACACACATCCCTTCAGAAAGTCATTGATGCGGAGAAATGTATTCAAGGGAGAAAACCTTTAGTATGTTGATATTTACTCTTTGGACAGCTTGGAAGTGACACTTCAATGAAACTTATTAGTATAAGTTACTCGTGGCTATGTGGTTGGTACAAGGGAGGTGTTGCAGGGAGTTTGATTAATTATGTTAGATTGAGTCACTTGGAAACACTGATTTGTGGGGGGTTGAAAGCAATAGGGAGTCAGTTCTTTTTTGGCATGTAGTTTGAGAAGAAAACAAGGACAGGACAAGGATCGATTAGAGTTTTGAAAGCAGTTTTTTTTTCTTAACTTCACTGGCTAAAATATGTTATATATATTCCAGGACATATAAAAATGTTTTACTGTGGAAGTGGGTTATTTGTAAGTACATCCCAGTAAAAGTGGGTCTTTATCATCTGTATGATAAAGTTGCCTACAGGTGTCCCCACCTGGAAAAATGAGAGTTCAGTGCCAGGTCAAGTTTAAGGGAACTTCCAGCTCTATAATGCTATCCACTGATGGTCTCATATCCTAGAAGTCAGAAGACTTTGGTTCTCCCTTGGATTCATATTTGATCTGTTACATAATATCAACAGGGGGAATGTGCTAATGCTGGTGTTTGCCCTGCCTGGTGCCAGGTAGGGGCCTCCTTCGGTTTGCACACTTACTGCAAGAATGTCCTGTGATCACTATGGTCACTCTACTGGATCACCCCGTTCCCACCTGTTTCCCACTCCATAGAATCATTTGCATTCTAGGCTTTAGGACAGCAGTTCTCAACCTGTGGGTCGCGACCCCTTTGGCGGTCAAACGACCCTTTCACAGGGGTCGCCTAAGACCATCCTGCATATCAGATATTTACATTATGATTCATAACAGTAGCAATATTACAGTTATGAAGTAGCAGTGAAAATAATTTTATGGTTGGGTCACAACATGAGGAACTGTATTTAAAGGGCCAGAAGGTTGAGAACCACTGTTTTAGGATGTGCTGTTTTCTCAGCCGGGGTTGCCCTACCTTCTCTCCTTTGTCTAGCAAATTCCTGCTTGTCCTTCAGATACAGCTCATATATGGCCTCCTTTGTGATAGCTATCTTTTTAAAAAAAAATTTATTGATTGATTTTGGAGAGGGAGGAAGGGAGGGAGGGAGGAGAGAGAGAGCGCTTACTGGAGGCAACCAATCAATGTGTCTCTCTCACATCAATGTTTCTCTCTCTCTCTTTCTCCCTTCCACTCTCTCTAAAATTTAATGGGGAAAAAATATCCTCTGGTAAGGATTAACAAAACAACAACAAAAACACCAAAAAAAAAGAGAGAGAGAGAGAGAAAGAAAGAAAAGCCTTAAAGACACAATCTTAGACTGAACAGTTTTACTTCTAATAATTTACCTGAAGAAAATAATTGAGTGTATGTGTTAAGATTGTAAAAGTATTGTTTATAATGAAAAATTGTAAACAACAGAAATGTCCACTGTAGAGAGTTGGTTAAGTAAATTATGGTATGTCTTTACAGTGGAATACAGTGGAGCCACTAATAATCATGCTTATAGTTAAAACAGACATTGACAAAAGATGTTCATAAGTAGTTGCAAAGTGAAAAAAATGCTATCATAAAAATACATATTTCATTTTGATAGATCTTATATATAGGTAGAAAAAAGAAAATAATTAATATATAAATTTTAGTAGTGATTATCTCTGAGTTATGATTGATAAAGGTATTTTTCATTTTATTTGTGTTTTTAAAAGTATTTTCTCCATGTTCATTTATTACCATGGCAATGTTTTCTTATTTAAAATAATTCTTGTCAAATCAGGCTCAAAGACTTATTTCTACTTTGAATCTGAAGTGGACATGAATTCAGCTCCTTATTAACAGGTTTGTAACTTCTCCTTTGGAAAGCTTTTGGAGAAGATTCAGATTCATGTTGATACTAACGAGCCAATTTATGCCACAAGATAGGTATCTGCTACACTGACACAAATATGTTTCTATTATAATTCCCAGTGCTGTGGTTCTGTTGTTCACATTTGCCCTCTTACAAGCATCTTACCATTGCTTATCTTCTGTAGGTCTTAAAATGCTTTATACTTATTATTATACTAGAGGCCCAGTGCATGAAATTTGTGCACGGGGGGGAGGGGGGTTCCTGCTGCAGGGTTGGGCCTAAATCAGCAGTCAGACATCCCTCTCAAAATCCAGGACCGCTGGCTCCTAACCGCTCCCCTGCCTGCCGGCCTAATCCCCCTAACTGCTCTCCCCTGCCAGCCTGATACCCCTAACTGCTCTCCCCTGCTGGCCTGATCCCCCTAACTGCTCTCCCCTACTGGCCTGATCCCCCTAACCGCCTCTGCCTCGGCCCCGCCACCATGGCTTTGTCCAGAATGACATCCGGAAGATGTCCGGTCTAATTAGCATATTACCTTTTTATTAGTATAGATAAACTATTGGTCTCTCATAACTCAAAGTTTCATAAATGACTATAGGTGTTCTCTCTTATTTTTCTGCCCCACGATAAGTGCAGCCAGACACAGTACTTCACTGATTCTCTCCCTTACCACCAGTTCCTCCTCTGACTCCAGTATAGTTTGTTCAAAGAACATGTGGTGGGTAAAGATTGTCAGCACAAGTTTTCAGTTTCTGACAATGGAATTCCCAGACTTTGTAGAACCATAAAAATCTCTCTTTTTAAATTGAAAGTGACATATTGTTTGTTATAAAAATGTTTCTAGCTGCACAGTGATGGCGAACCTATGACACGATTGTCAGAGGTGACACACGACTCATTTTTTTGGTTGATTTTTCTTTGTTAATGGCATTTAAATATATAAAATAAATATCAAAAATATAAGTCTTTGTTTTACTATGGTTGCAAATATCAAAAAATTTCTATATGACGGCACCAGAGTTAAATTAGGGTTTTTCAAAATGCTGACACGCCGAGCTCAAAAGGTTCACATCACTGTCCTAGCACCACAGTAATGTATAAAAAGAAATTTCATCAGTTTGAAAAATTGTTGTTTTTTTGTTAATCCTCACCCAAGGATATTTTTTCCATTGATTTTTAGAGGGAAAGGGAGGGAGGAAGGGCAAGAGAGGGAGAGAGAAACATCGATGTGAGAGAGACACATTGACTGGTTGCCTCCCACATGCGCCCTAACTGGGACCGGGGATTGAACCTGCAACCCAGGTACATGCCCTTGACTGGGAATAGGACCCTTGACCCTTCGATGGGATGGCCAATGC